TTTCTGGTGCTTTCACTTCCAGAGACAGTTGTAAGCACTGTGTAACTGCCTCGAGGGTGCTTGACCAATTTACCACAACTTGGTGCGATTATCCCCTTTGCTTTTTTTGAGGGTTCTCCACCCCGCACAACATGATCTACTCGACCACCATTATGGTTACCGCCAAAAAAAAAAACGGAGGTAAAAAAAAAAAACGGTAACCTGGTTGCCGAGTTCACGAAGTGAATTGGCTTGTTTTACAACGTCGTTGCCAAGCGACGAAAACCCAACCCCGATGGCAAACACCGTGGGGGGGGGGAGGGTATTTCGACATTAGCCAAAAAAAATAGGACACTCGAACGTCTCAGTTGGTGGTGGGCGCTCAACTCCTGTAGCAGTTTTGTACACATGGAACGCATGATTTGGGTATGCTGTGAGAACGTCGCTTGGAAGGTCCAGAAATTGGAAAGTTATTGTAAGTTTCTCGAACCACTATGTCACTCACACGTTGGTTTAGCGTGCAGGATGTAAACTAGTGCTTGGATGCAGCAATATTTTGGCTAGGCATTATGTAATTGATGGGCGTTCTAGCATACTTCGGGAGAGGTATCATTTGTCGCATTTCATCTACAATAGCTTCGTCCTGAGAGTTTTGCTTTGCTTCCATGGCCCATGTTCAGCCAAGGTGGCAAAACAGGGCGAGATAAAATATATACAACCCCTAGTTTCACACATCATGTATTCGTACAAAGTTGTAAGCTGGATCTCTTGGGGTCGTCGAATACGCCATAAAAGGGCTTGCCGTCAGATCCCGTCGCCAGAACACCCTTGCTGTCGTTGAGGCAAAACGAACCTCAACCGTCGTCTCGGGCGCGGTGAGGAGGCTGGCGTTGGATTCAAGTGTGACAAAAAAAAGGTGACACGATTCCAACGGCACCAAAGTCCGCAAGCAGGCATACCGTCACAAGTATCCGTTGAGAACACCACCACCGGCGATAAGCACGGAAGCTTTGAGAAGGCCCCGGGTTATCCTTGGGTTGTTTCTTTTTCTTGCCCCATTCCTTCGAGAGCGCTCTCGGCGGTGTGTTCCTTTTTGACCTACTTCCGACGCCCCCCCCCCCGGGGCGGCGTTCTTAGGGAATCCGAGGCACTCATCCCGTCAGCATCGCTGCTGCTGTTCTTTTGTTTGTAGTTGTTGCTGCCGAGTTGTTAAATACAGACACTTTCGATTCACTTTTTCAGTCCATTCAACAATCGGACACAGCAATAAAAAAACGCCACTGCTGCCACCACGCACGAGTTGCGCCTCTGCCGTAAGTCTGTCGGTGCGCACCGGCAGAGGTGGCGCATGCTACACAGCAAGACTCACGACTGTTCTTGCCCCTTGACTTCCGTACTCACCAGAGAGGCTGCATGGACTTTCGAACACGCCACAACGGAAAGAAAAATGGGAAAGCACAGAAACAACATACATGGTCGTCCACTAAAGGCAACAGGAGACGAGACGAAAGCAGCTTCCACGGCAAGACCAAAATAAGCGACACCCCGTGTCCCGGCCTATTCTTGAGAAGCCACCCAATCGTTTGTTTTTCACCGACAAAAACTATGCGCCCCCCCGGGGCGTTCTCAGCGAAAATTCGGTAAGCCTACATAACTCAGTCATCGTAGAGTCACCACCAATCGAATCTGCACGCCTCCATTGCAGAAAATATCTCGTGGTCGCTATGTGGACAAGGCAGCCCGCCCCCTGCACCGTGCATCCTCCCACGCCACACACCATGGTGTCCTAGAACACACGAGGTATGCCAGGGATAGAGGTGCGACCGCCTGAGCGTGAAGTTCAAGCTTTCATTAATCAAAAACGAAAGCTCTGTCCGAAGCGTCAAGGCGCTACAGCCCAAGCGCGTGATTTTCCCTCTTCGGGACGTCGACACATGCAAAGGCCCAAAAGTACCCCAACTAAAAAAACGTCAACACCCGTCTAAAAGAGAAGAAAAGATCATGGAGAAAACTTGATTTATTGCCGGCTTTCTGTCCACCCCCAACCTCCACTCCTCCTTGGACTTGCCGGCCAAAGGAGAGGGCCGGACCCACAGCACGTAAAACCCCAACCCAAACACACATACTTGCCTGCAACGCTTCACATACAGCGGGGGGGGGGGCGTCGTTTCAGAATGTGACGGCCAACATTGTCAGTCAACTGATTCAACGTGCAATGCTCGGTCGGCATTGCTGGGGGCCCACAGCAACACGTTTGCTCCTGGACTATCGAGAAATTGCGATATCGCCGTCATCATCGCTACCACATAGTTTATAATAGCACACCGTGTTGTGGAAGCCGCGTCTGCATCCTGTGCGTTTCGCAACGCAAAGCCTTGTGGCAGGAAGGTCGGGTTCACGCTGCAGGCAAACTACGCGGGGCAGCGACAAAAAACAAGCGTCTTAACTGCGCGGTGACTGCAGCCGTGAGCCGCGTGTGAGGCGCTAAAACAACCCCGCGGGTGCATTGTCGCCCGCCGCCTTCCCCCTCTCCTCCCCGATCGCTTGGCAACCCATCTCGTGGAGGCATGGGTATTCAAAAGGCTGCCACGCGTTGTTCCTCTCGCCATATTTCCCGGGGGACAGCACGTGATGGATCGACGTAGGACTGGTGATTACCCAGTCCGTCCCCCGGGGCACCAGGCCCCGCTGTTGGCCCTGCTCGTCTTCTCCTCAACCTTCCTTTCACCGTGTGTCCCCGGTGGCTACTTTTCTCCCGCTAGACCTAGCAGGCGGGCGTTCCATGGCTGCCGTGAATGTCGCCATCTATATATAATAGCGGTGGCCCTGTCATCTCGGGGCCGCCGTTTCCGGGCAAAGTGCCGTTGCCCGCCAACAACGGGCCGCCGCGCCCACACCTCCTCGTCTTGGTACATATCAACAACGCCTATAGTACACATGCCTCCCCCCAAAGGAACGGCGCACGGTGTTGCCTTTTGCAAGAGAGGTGGGTGGCCAAAGGGGAAAAAAAGGCAACGGCGAGCACCCTCCCCCGCCGAAGAACCAACGCCCCTCTAAAAAGCTTATTTGCCCGGGGCCGTGTAGGCGATGAACTCGTCTTCCCCATTCTTCTCCTCGGATGCCCCGCCGAGCAGCGGGCGATCCAAGCCGTCGAGGCCGTCGAGGCCGTCGTCGTCTCGCAGAAGGTCGTTGATCATCTGCGTCGCGACAGTGCGCTTGGGCTTCATCATCTCCAGGTAGGCCTTGAGGCCGATGAGGTAGCACATGCAGATGAGGGACAAGCAGGACGGGATGAACACCGCCCAGAGGTCGTTGTAGCCGTAGTAGATGAGGAAGCAGACCATCCCGCCCGCGAAAATGAACTGCCAGAGAGAGAGAGAGGGAAATATAGCACAAGATAAGGGGTGGTGGTGGCAGAACAGCCAAAGGGTACGCGGGTAAAGGGCGGGTGTTCATTTCTGGCGATTGCGAGGAATGACGGGTGGAGGAGGGGTTGGGGGTGGTTGTTCAAATCTGATTGTTGCTAGGCTGTCATTCCGGCAGAGGTGAACCCATGGTGTATACTTTGGAGAGAGAAACAGAAACGTTCACAAAGCACATGCTGCACGCACAGGAGGCCTCGCACTAGTCTCCAGCCGCGCTCCCCGACGCACCCTCTGTGATGGCGATAGCGAGGAGCAAGAGACAGTCCAGCTGGTCTACAGCTACTGTGTCCTTTGAGTGCTGGCGCGTTCTGCTCCTACTGCTTCGTCGCACCTGGTATATGTAGCTGATATCCCGAGACTTCCCTCGCTTCGTGACATGGTAAATCTGTGGCAACTGTGCTCCTGTTTCGTTGAAGGGGGGGCACAGAAAATGGGGGAGGTAGGGTTACGTAAACATCAGCTCCGAGGGATACACAGGCAAGGCATGAACGAGAGCCGTACACGGAACATACGCCAGCAAGGTTCCCTGCAAACGAGGGTTGGCAATACCGTGTTATCACGGAATCCAAGCAAACCATTCCGACTCAACCGAAACCATCCTAGACCTAGATTTCCACAGATACTATGCTACGAAGCACGTATATAGGTGACACAAGATATCACACCTCCTGGACCGACTTTCAAAGAGCGAATACTCCACAGCAGAGGAGAGTGGCGGAGCCAAAACGGCGGCGTTGGAACCATCTCGTCGAGATCTTTCCGATAAAACGTATCGTTTGGTTTTTAGCATCCTGTTCGTCGTGGAGTAATCGAGCTTTGAAAATCGGTCCAGGGGGTGTGGTATCTTGTGTCATATACGGTATAGACAAATCGATGCAACACAAGCAGCAAAGCCCGTAAACCTTGCACGGAGTAGATCGCTGGACACAACCCGGTGTCCCATGCGGCGGATCAGATGAGCACGGCACACTTGTCGTGGAATCATGATCCTTCACTGCTGCATCGATTTGAGAGACCCGGATGTTGTACGAACAAACTGGGTAGATCATTTCCAGAGGAGCAATCGAGCCTTGGAAATCGGTCCAGGGGGCGTGGTATCTGATGCAACCTCAGTCGAGTCTACACTGCTGTAGCATACGATAGTGAGAGCGGTGGAGAGAGGTAGAGAGAGGAGGCGAGAGAGAGAACCATGCCCGAAACGTCTGAACGTGCCACAAAAACGCCGCTGTTAATACGAGCTCGAAAGAGGAGAGACACAACAGAGGCAAAACACTGCGCAGCGAACATGTGGCAGCAACCTATTTGGCAAGGAATTCGAGTTAAACGGTGGGTCATGTTCATCATGTTATCCGTACCGGCGAGAAGCAGTCCGCCCGCCGTCCCGCAAGCTCTGAAAAACTGATCTTCGGAGATGCCCCCCAACGCCGCAAGAAGCGCTTCACGCATCGTGGAGGTCTTTGTTATGCCGAGCGCTCTCCGGGTCCCTTCTGTACTCCAGCACAGAGCTGCTACAGTGGTACCAACAACCGGTGAGGACAGCTCGTGGGAAGGCTTCTGTCGTGGTATCCCTTCTGATGCTATTATTGCTGTGCTGCTCTCCCTGGTGGTGTACACCAACACAACAGTATTTACCAGTTACCACGTGGCGTTCTCGTCCTCCTCCTTGCCTTCCTCTTTTTGATGCCCAGAGCAGACGTGATATCCAGGTCCAGCACACTAACGAACACAGCGGGCGACGATGAAGTTAGCTTCTGAGCAGTGCCGCTTCAGATGTATGCCGCTTGTAGGGTCAGACGGTGCTCGATAGTCGGCCAATAGGCCGTGTGCTACTGCTGCTGCTTGTATGCACAACGCAGCTGTCTGGGATTCAAAACAAGGCACCCGACGCACTCGCTTTACGACCTACGTGTGTGTCCGGATGGCCGCGAGACTCAGCAGGGGAGAAACACTTGGGGCATTACTTCGGTACAGCCTTGATGTGCCAGCCAAGACCTACCTGATCACACAGCACAGGAATCACAGCATCAACGAGCCACGATTTGATTAGGCCGCCACCCTCCAAAAAAATATTAGAACTCGGTTCTGCTCGCGAACCGTCAGATTGGACGTTCATCCATCATCCATCACATCACTACATCGATCCATCGATCGTCCGGATCTCCGGATCCATCGCTGTTCATCGTTCCTCCTACGTTCATCCCTACTCTACAGTACGCCGCGGCCTGGCTCTCCAGATGAAGGGTCTGATCTGAGACCATGCAGGGACCTGTGTGGTGCCGTTTTCATCGTCTAAATGAGGAGGGCCTAGACTACTGCCCAGCAGTTTTTCGCGTAAAGTCACGAACAACACGAACAACACGGTAGTCTATGCTACACTACGGCCGCCTACTTTCCGGCAGCCTTGACTACTGTACACGGCTGAGGCGAATGATTGTACTTGTGTGCACCATAGCATGTCTGTATATATCGCTTTGTGCACAACATGCTGAAAACAGCCTATTCGCCGAGATCGAACTCACATGGACTTGCCGCACCCGAACTACTACATAGGAAGGGGTGAAATGAAACGTACCGCAAGCTGAACAATTGATGCCGTTCGTAAGGACACCCTCACGACTATGCACCTAGCAACAGCCCCGGAGACACCTGCAGGCTAGGGAATCACCCACCACGTGGTCCCTCTCCCATTGACCCCGAAGCCCTAGGAACGAATCTACACATGGCGTTCAAGTTGCAGATCGTCTGCACCGCGTGATCATCACCTCTACTCAACATAGTCTACACAACAAATAGGTTGGGTCTCGGTAGTAGTGCGGATAGAAACGACCAGGATGGCAATGACAGGAATCCATTTGGCAGCGATGGAGAAGGAAAGGAAGAAAGGGAACGGGAGGAGGATAGAACAGAGACCAAAACAGCAGTCGAGAAGGGAATGGTGGCGTTGAATGAAGCAAGAGTTTCGAGCCAGATGACCTTGCCCACCACAAACGACGCAGGGCCAGAGAAGAAAAAAAAGGGGAAAAGTTGCTGTCAACACCATAATGATGGGGAAGGTGGGGTTGAAAGCAAGGAAGATGACGGTGAAAGCACTCCAGAACGAACTCGAGTGCAAGGTAGCAGCCTTCGTAGACCTGCACAGTTTTCTTCTGTTGCTACGGTTTCTGTCGTTGATCCAGAGAACAGAGGAGCCTCCCCCATACCACCCCCTCACGGGGTCCCAGTTGATGGCATTTAGAATGTTTGGTGTGTTTAACCGCACTGAGACTGACGTCTTTTCATTGGTCAGGCGGTTAGCGCGGTCGATGCTAAAAAAAAAACACGCAACAGCTGCCGCGGGCGCGACACTATTACTGTTTCTTGCCTTTATTCGTGATTGGTTTTGCCACTTTTCCGTGTATCTTTCAGGCCGCCTCTTGGCGGCTGTTTTTTCTCCGCGAGTGGAGGAAATTTTCTCTCGATCTCTTCTGTCTTGCTCCAGGGTAGCCTGTGACCACGGAATTCATTTCTTTGCCTTGGCTTGTTAGAGAGGACGTGCTGGGCACAGGCGCGAGAACTGTATACTTTGTTATATATACGGCACAGCGAAGCCAACACCAACGCGAACGATCGCAGGTTGGCTGTGGTTCAACGGAACGTGCGGTTACGCCCTGATTCCAGTGGACCGATTGATTTTAGCAGGAGCAGCATCGGTGGCTGGGGTCAGGCTCGTCATCTGATCACCTGCAACAATAGCCTCGGCCATTCCAGGCGAGGAGAGGTGACGACATGTCAGGCGTATGGCGATATACGATGTCGTGGGTGCTGCTGTCGTCACCGCCACCCACAACTAGTAGCCATTGTCGCCCAGATTACTGCTGTAATTTTCCCCCCAAAAGAAAAGCCTTGTGAGTCGTTGTGACGCCTACAGTAATTGACTGACCGCGACCCCCGTCCCGTGCTGCGCCCCAAAATTGTAGTCCAGCCGCCTTCTCTCCGGGTCCTCTTATGAACAGGCCACGGACTTCAAAATGTTGGACAAAGTATGTCATGCTCTAGGGGATTCGCCTTTGGGTCCTTCCCGTGACAATGCATGTAGGACGCTGAAATAGTTCGTTGAAACATGCCAATAGGCAACCGAGCACGGATGAATGGTAGCAGCTGTGGCGGAGGTGGCGTACCACCCCCTCTGGTTAAACAAGCAGTCCTCATGTGTCCCTTCCCCCTCTTGAGATACCGCCACCGTAACAATGACATATTTTCGTTGTTGCGTTGAATCGTGACTTCTTATTAGCAGTTGATTTTGTGTGGTAAATACCTTGCATTTTACAGCATTGACCATACACTAGCACGTCTCTCTCTCTCTCTCTCTCTCTCTCTCTCTCTCTCTCTCTCTCTCTCTGTGGTGAATATATTCCACCACCCTTGTCCTGGCGCGTAGATAGAGTACAGTGTGAGGGGCCCGGTTTAGCGACCACTCGTAGTTTCACAACGGCGACCACTCGTAGTTTCACAACGAAATGTGGCCACTATTCAGGGCGGGTCGCTTTACCGGATTTCCAGTTATATCGCAGCGATCCTCTCGGGGTGCGTTGGTGCGACGTGATTTTGTGGTCGCTATCAAGGCATGCCGCTACACAAGGGGTCGCTAAACCGAGCCCCCTTCCGTATTTAGAATCGCCTGTGCCTCCAAATAACCAGGGTAGGACAGGAGCTGTACAATGTCCTCCACATCGATGACACCGCCGTTAATAGTAAGACGAGCCCCGAAGACATGTCAACATGCACGTGCCTGGGCGCACAAGTCTCGTCAAAGGTTGTGACGCGGCGTTGCATGCGCACAACAACAGACATGGCGTATTTTCCCGTGTAGTTTAGGTTATTTGCGTTTGCCGAAACGCCCTACCCCTCCCCCCTTCAACACATCAAAATTCTTGGGCCACAACCGGTGCGACGACGAGCGCTACGGTAGAGAGCTGAATACGCGTTAAGACGTACTCTTTGCGGCCCTCCTCAGCATCTCTGGTGCCTCACCACGATCAACACATGCCATACACAGATCACCCAGACGTTGTCCCTCCGTGCCTCGAAGCCTCGCTCATATCAAAACAACATGAAAAATAGTCCCCAAATACCTGATGAGTGGTTCTATTGACAACACCGACCTGATCCGCTTCGTGGGACCTGGGTGCGCCAGTGTGTTGGCAACACGATTCGTGCCCCNTTTCTCCTCCTTCACTCTGTCATTCCACAACCCTTCCTCCCCCCCGCTACTCGATAAAATATCGTTTGCAATGCTGCCAGCAAGGAAGCGGATTCTTCACGTCGATTGGAAAAAAAAAAAACAAGAACATAGCTTGGCCCCAGCGGAGTGATTCGTTCTCTCTTGGTTCTGGCATGTTTACCCTTCGCGCTGAGCTCCTACATCCTCCGAAAAACAACTCGTTTGTTCTGTGCTCGCCCGTGGGTGCCATTAGACCCCCCAAGTAAGTGAGGTACAGCGTTTTTTGTTTTACATGTCCACCTAACGAGCAGACGAGCTTCCATCCCACAAGACTGCACACCCGATATTGCCCATGATGACTAAACATCACGACCGGTACGTTGGACGAGCATGCGTATTCATACAGCCAAAACTTCCCTTCCCCCCCCCCCCCCCCCCTACAATCAACAGCACTTTCTGCCTCGTTGGGCTCTGATGTTCCTACACATAGCAGTGAGTGACGAACCATCATATGCAACGAACAAGCAAAGGAAGCACCTTATTATTGTGCTCCTATCCGCGAACCTACGGCGCCTCGATCAAGCGTTTCAAAACAAGACTGCGTCTCCAGCGTAGCAACACTTCACCGACCGCACAAGTTTCCGTCGAAAGACACTTGATTCCAAGCCGAATGATTTGGCCATCAGCGTTTGTATCAAATCGTTCCTTACTTTGTGCCGAGTTTGCTGCCGCCACGTTCATGACCATCCGAAAACGCTTCAGCTTACGCCGTATTTTTCCTGCTTGTTGTTGATTCCGCCCCATTAAGCTGGAAACATAAAACAGCGATAGAAACCCTTGTGTATCTCTACCACGGACCACCACCACGAAACAATCGAAACCGAAATCACGAAACGGACTGGAAAAAGTAGATGAGTTGCGTGAGACTGGAAGTGTTCGACCGGCTCACTCCCACGACAGACAGGCAGATACAAAGGACACAGAATTTCCACAAGTATGTTACACCTTTGTTGTGACACGCAACAAGCCCCACACTGCAGATACAAATAAGCACGAACAACCGGCGCCATGAACACGCCCAAGCGCCGGCCGGACCCGAACCACCGTTTGTTTACCCTTCCGCAACCTGCTCCTTCTTGTGGTCGGGGGGGACGGGCTCCCCCGACCCGCCCCATCCGCCGCCGTCGGCGCCCGCGCAAGGGGAGAGAGCGTGGCGGCCGTGGCCGTCCTCGCGTTGCTGCTGCTGCTGCTGCTGCTGAAGGTACTGGTAGTAGTCCGGGTGGGGGTTGTAGTGCTGGTGCTGATGGTACCGATGATACTGATCATAGTGGTGGTGCGGATGCTGCCCGACGAAGTGCTCGTAGTGACCGGGGGGGTAGTGGTGCTGGGGTCGTCTGTAGTACGGGTGTAGCGCGGAGGAAGCGGCGTAACTACCTCTTCCGCCGCCGCCGCCACCGCCGCCAAGAAGGGGCGGGGAGTGGCAAGGCGCGTAACCATCGTCCACCCTTCCGCCGCCGCCGCCGCCGCTGCTGCTGCCACCACCTGCTCCGCTGCCTGCGGCACCGTGACCGGGATAATACCCGGGCGGAGGCGGCGGCATCGGGTACCGTGCGTCCCCTAGGTGAGCGGCGTATTTACTCCCCCCGGCAGCGGCGGCAACGGCAGCAGCGGTGGCAGCGGCTGTAGTAGCAGCTGTGGCAACCGCAGGTGCAGACACATCTGTGCCTGCCGCCGCCGAAGCAGAGGTTGGGGTGAAGGCCCTTTCCGCCGGACCTTTTCCGCCGTCGCCGCCGCCGCCGCTGGAGTCTACCGGTCGATTCGTCGAGTAAGGGCTCCGCGGCGGGTTTGCTAGGCTGCAGGCGTTGAGCAGGGTGGAGTAGGCGCCGCTAGCGCCGCCGCTGCTGCTTCTGCCCCTGCCGCCGCCGCCAAGGGGCGAGGGGGGCGTCGTCCAGTGCGTCTGCATAAAGGCAATTCGTCAAGGGTTGTGGTAAAAAAAAAGCATCGGTCAACCCAGCAAAAGGTGGAGGGAAAACGAATTCAATCGTGGGTCTCACTTGACTGTGCGGACGGGTAGCAACGGTAAAAGAGATGTTTCATCAGGTGTGTCGGGGCATCCGAAAGAAAGCAGATTGGTTTTGTTGCATCAATAAATAGAATCGCGGTCAGGTCCCAACGAGAGGCGAGAGCGTGGCTGCCAAATCAAAGCGGACGAAACACTGAAGGCGTCTGACTTTGACTGTCTGCAAGAAGTGGCTGGCCCTTAGAGCAGTGTAGACGTGGAGATTCAGCTTACCCCGCTGCCGCTGCCTCGGGGACCGCCTCCGCCCCTCGGCAGACAGAATGATCCGCGCATGGAGTCCGGCACAGGAGGCATCGCCCACCTGAGGATCACAACACGCGCGCATCACGAGTCACGGGTAGCGGTCGGAGGTGGAATTGGGTACCGGGACAGGGAGAAGAAGGAGAAGGAAGTAGGTGGGATGAAGGAAGATCGTTGCTTCGTTCGCTCATCTTCTTTGTTGCCGTTGAATTGGCGTAAGATCTTCCATAGTCTCTCGGGAGTGTCATGCTACCCATGAGACTCTTCTCCCGCACCAAAAAAAAAAAGGAGCACATCCTCGCCGTTTCACACAGCTCGATCATGACCAGCCAAAGACAACAATAATCAACCTACCAAACTGACACTACCACCGCAGCATCGATGATGGCGGCCATCGACGCTGTGCGCTCCACGCCCACTCACTTATCATACCCGTGCTGGTCACCCTCTCCCGGCTCGAGGCCTATCGCGGACGGAGCGGCGGCGGCAGCCTCGGCAGCAGCAGCGGCAGCGGCGGCGGCGGCAGCGGCGGCGGCGGCCCTAGGCGTGGACGCGGTTGGTACCATCGGGAAGCGGCGGCAATGCTTATAGAACGGTGGGAGAAGCGGTGACGGGGAGTGGGAAGGGGCAACGGCGTCTTGAGCGCTGCCATTGGCGGCATCAATGCTCAGGGGGCGTTTTTTCCCGCTGCCACCGCCTCCATCGGCTGCTGGTGCCGCAGATGAATTCTGTACGGACAATAAATAAAGCCATATATTTGGGGAAGGGAGATAACGTGAGGACAACATATCGCTAGGACATCGAAACTTGGGCGGTGGAGGAAGGAGTCGGCCCACCGACCTGAGTAGATCTTTTGTGGGTGAGAAGGTTTCGGTGTTGCCAACTCAAGGGGGGGATCTAAGGCTCTCCCCCAATTGACCTCGACGTTATTCTGGCAGTTTATTCTAAGTCTGCTGGATGATTTTTCCCAAAACAATTTGCTGCCTCAAGATGTAAATGCCATCAGCTACTACCTTCTTTTCGTTGACCGAGGAGTTGGGAGAGAAGGCTTTGCTCTTCCCACTCATGCCCGATGATCGCGGGGGGAGGGACGGCAGCGGACCGGACAGGACGGATAGAGGGAGAGAGGGAGCAATCCCATCATTGTCATTACTGCCGCTGCTGCTGCCGCTGTTGCTGCTTCTGCTGCTGTCGCCGCCGCGGCTGTTGTCGATTCCAAGACCACCACCACCGTCTTCTTGACCGTAGCCGCTGCCACCGTCGCCGCCGCTGCTGCCGTTGTCGGTCCCTTCGTCTTCGTCTTCGTCGTCGTCATCGTCGTCGTCGTCGTCATCATCATCATCGTCGTTACCGCTGTTGCTGCTGCTGCTGCTGCTGCTGCTGCTGCTGTTGCCGTTGCTCTCCACCATGCGAGAGGGGGGCAATTTCTTGCGCTTGCCTGTTGCCGTTTGATTCGCAGCTGCTGCCTCTGCGGCCTCGGCTTTCGCCTTGGCTGCGGCGGCGACTGCGGCGGCCGTTATCTTTGCCCTCGTCGCCGGACTCATCTTGCGCCTCAGGATTGCCGAAGACATTTCCGCCTGGCCACCAAAGGAAGAAGACACAAGGAAACCATCAGCATTTTCGGCGGGCAGGCAGCGCGAGAATGTTGCGGTCAATTTCATGAAAAGAACCCGCGCGAGTCGAGTCGAGCTGGTGGCGCGACCGGTCACCTGGCACCGAGACCTACAATGGTCGATACTTAGTCAACAGAAGCAGGCAATTTCACGACATGGGATGCATCGTCCTGAATCACAGATCCAGCCACGATTGCGGGCGTCCAGTTGCACTCCGTACGTCCTGTTTTATACCCCTCCCGTCTCTATGTCCTTCCTGGTTTTCAAGCTTTCCCTGCTCTCGGCGGCAGAGGTACGTGCCAACCCCTTCTCCTGAGTCCTAAAAACCAAGCCCTTGCCGCTGCGGCACAATTCATCAACCCCCCCCCCCCCCCCCCCCCCCCCCCCCCCCCCCCCCC